TCATTGCTGAGAACTGCTTGAGGCGTGAAAGAACTGCAGAGTCAAGAGGTTTATCAGGAGCCACTGTGTCATCCACAATCCATGGATGGCCTGACAGTCACAGAAAACAGAAATGTAAGTCATTGTAAAAAGCACTTTGTTTCAACATTTTTTAAATATGCAACTTCTTAAGTCTCAATTTTCACAACTACAAGGACTTACACAAAACTTCATGGGCAGTTAACCTCCTCTTTGGATTCCTATCAAGAATTTTACGTATCAAATCCTTGGCACTATCTGAAATTCCAGGCCAAGGTTCAGATTCAAGATCTAGTTTGCCTCGCAGTATCTGACGAAATATTCCCATATCAGTTTCTGGAATCAGGAAAACAATAATAAGAATTATAAGATAATGTGAGCATGAAAGACGAACTTTAAAACAGACTATATTTCCTCCTAAACACCCATGGAGATTTCAATACCTGCCCAAAAAGGGGGAACACCACTAAGTAATATGTACAAGATAACTCCTGCACTCCATACATCTGATTCATGTCCATAGTGCTTGCATAAAACCTCTGGGGCAACATAATAAGGACTTCCAACAACATCTGAAAATGTTTCACCTAATCCCAATAACATCATCAAGGAACAAAACTGTTAGTATTAAAAGGTCAGAGCGGAAGTTAAGTAGAAGTGAAAAATCAGCAATTTTCAGTAGGACAAAATGCAACACATTTGAATACATTATATCAGTAAACGAAACCGGTAGCTAAGTGTTAGAGACCGTAAAGTAAAACAGAACCTCACTAGAAACAAATAGCAGTAGAAAGTAAATAAGTAAAGTCAACTGAAGCTTTTCCTTCAGTAAGACCTACATGAATAGCGTAATTGCATTCAAAAGGAAAATGCATGAGACATTTTGAATAGATACTCATATCGAAAACTAGTAGGACCAGTGAACAAATTGAAGTTCAAAACTACAAAAGTCATAATCAGATTTAGACATGGTTACCATTTCCATGTTCGAGAAGACTACATAAATAGATTATATCTGGCACCGACCATACTATATAGAATTTAATGAGAAGGCTAGTAATAAAGCAACAGAAAAAAAGAACCTTTATAATCCATTTTGGGCTTACACAATGTACTTCTTAGATTGCACATACACAAATAATGTTATAATGCAAACAATAGATCTCAGCATTTGCCCGGTTATAAAGCAAATCCTGCAGACTCAAAAGTTCAGAAGAAATGAAAAGGGGGATTACCGATTCAAAGTAGCAACTTAACACTTTACCAAATGTCCAAATACCTACTCTTCTGTCATTGTATTCCATATAAATTCAGTTTACTCTTTTCCTAAAGAAACAAGCTCGAGTCTTAAAAAGATATTAGTAATAAACTAAAATCTTATTGATCAAATTAAAATAGTAGTTCTCAAATGGTAATCTCTTTGTAACTGTCCACTTGCGGAGTCACTAGTGGCAATTGGTCGTCTCTCTACCCTAAGAAAAGAAGTATTTCTCTATCAAATGTGTTACCTGAAAGTAAAGAGACAAGGGAGAGAACCACAGTTTCTCAATCTTTTGCAATCATAAACCCATCATTTTACATCTTCTCAAGAATCATCATTGATCAAGGTACCATTTACCTTATAACTAATTCTTTTATTATGCTTGTGGAAATCACCAGGTTCTATGATCGTGGATAAAGCTTACTCCATATCGTTCACTGCTTACAATCTAGTAAACAAAACTCCTTAGACCAATACTTAAAAAAAAAGGATATGCTTTCCTCTCACCAATCTAGAGAACATCCCGCTGCACAGACAAACAGCGAAATGTAAAAACACCCTAAGCATCTTTCAATTAGAAAATCTAAAGGCAATCCAATTCTCATCCAGAATCCAGTCACCACATAGAAGCAAAATTCCTTCATTAATAAAAGGACAATAACAACAGCTACGCCTCAGTCCCAGACAAGTTGGGGTCAGCTACATGAATCCTCGCTAGGGGCGGAGCTAGAATTTAGTCTAAACCCTGTATTTGTATTAAGAAATCCACTAAATACTCATCTCATGTCATTATGATACAATATCGGAATGGAACTAAAATGTTAATAATAATATACAAATGGAAAGAAAAGGCAGACCTGGTTTGTAGAAAACAGAGAGGCCAAAATCAGTGGCCTTGAGAGCAGCATCCTCATCAGAACTGAGAAACAAGAAATTCTCAGGCTTGAGATCTCTATGAATAACACCTAATGAATGACAAGCCTCAACAACACCAACAATTGTTTTAATCAACTTAGCAGCTTCTCTTTCACTATAATGTCCTTTCTCAACAATCCTATCAAAAAGCTCTCCACCAGCACAAAGCTCCATAACTATATGCACATATAATGCATCTTCATAAGTACCCTTTATTCTTACCACATTTGGGTGTTCAGATAAATGATGCATTATTTGAATCTCTTTCCAAACATCCTCATAATCTTCTTTACAGATCAGTTTCTTTTTGGGTATTGTCTTACAAGCGTAAAGATTGCCACTTGATTTTTCTATACAAAGATGTGTAGTTCCAAATTGACCTTGGCCTAACTTTTTGCCTATTGTGTAAAGACTCTGAAGGCTTTGAGTCTTGTAAGGAAGAACCCAAACAGATGATTTCTTGGGCTCAGTTGCTGGTTTTGGTTCCATGTTAATGGAGATGTGGTCCTCTGTATCTTGGTGCAGAGAGTCTGAAGAAACTGGAAAAGAAAAGTTGGGGCTTCTTTTTCTTTTTTCTTTTTCCTCTTTGTTATTTTACTCTAAGATTTTACTTCTCTAGATTCGCTCCATTCTGTTTTACTGTGTGCCGCTGACGGTTTGTCTGAAAATATGGTACTATTTGTTTGGTAGTTTAGTGGATGCCAACGTTTACACTAATTTCTCCTTTTTCATTTATCTTCAGTCGGAAATTTTTCACTTTCTTTCCGAATTTGTGTTTGGTTATCAAATTTTCAATTTCACTCTAACATTAATTTCATAACTTTTCGAAAATTTAAAAAAAATTCAAAAAGTTATTTTTTAAAATTTTCACTTCAGATCACTTACAAAAATTCAAAAATAACCTAAAATTATATTCGTGTCCAAACACAACTCTAATTTTCAAATACCATTTTTACTTTCTTTTTTTTTTTCAAATTTTTACAATTCTTATGTCCAAGCGCCTACTAATTATCCGATATGTCCATGATTTTTTATACGGGTGAAAGAATCTTATCCATCTCACCATTTACTAACAAGGAATCCAATAAGGAAATTGGAATTTTTTTTAGAAACTTTTAAGTGAGAAATTAAAATAGTCCTCAATATAAGAATTTAGGAAAGCACATTTAAAATCTAACATTTTTTCAACAAATCTTTTTCTAAGAAAAATTGTAAAGTATTAAAATTAATTGTATGATGGGTCATTCAACTTTCATTTTTATTGCACTAAAATATTTTTTTATACGGAAAGATCACTCAATTTGACCTAAGACTCACATGAGTATGCTTGGACTCGTATTATTGTAAGGGTGAGTGTGTCTAAGCTTATAATTGGATTTGTATTTACACACTGCAGTTCGTAAGGAAACTTATTCGCATTTTTCTTGTTATTATATCCTAGTATTAGCACCTGTGCGAATGCGCGGACACTAATCATGTCAAATATTTTAGTTATTTGGATTATATGTAAATAATCTTAAAATTTAAACCTTCTCGATAAATATAGATAATCATTGAATATTAATTAAGAAACACTACGCGAAAAAGATTAACTATTTGTCAAATCTCCTAGTTATAATTCTATTTTTTATGGTACAATTTTTGCCGGTGTCATTGGATCCTAAAAATAGTCAGGATACGACTTGACTCTTTCACTATTGCTTGAACTCTTATTTGGTGTGTTGATATCTTTCAAAAAATATTTGTATTTTAAAATTTTAGAAACTAAAACTTTATTTTTTAATAATAATTATTTTTATAATAATGGAAGTGAAAATATTATCCTTAATTCAAAACTCATTTTAGTCGGCTATCTAAATATTTAAAAATGATTTAGCTAGTGAATTTGTTTTCCCCAGTATGACTCCATTTTGATATTTGACAATAACCATATTAAATATCTGAGTTATTTGAATTATATGTAAATAACCTTAAAATTTAAACCTTCTAGATAATTATAGATAATCGTTAGATATTAATTAAGAAACACTAAATAAAAAAAGACTAACATTTTCTCAAATCTCGTAGTGATAATTTTATTTTGCACCATTCTCATTAGTGTCATTGAGCCTAGGAATAGCCACAAAGTGAAATAATAACTCGTATTTATGGCAAAGCACAAAGGTTGATACAATATGAATGATTCTTTGGTTATGACAGTGACTCTTTTACTACGACTTGAACTCTTATTTGGTACGTTGTTATCCTTCAAAAAAATATTTCTATTTTGAAATTCCAACTTCTAAAACTTTATATATATTTCAATAATGATTATCTTTATAATGATGCAAGTGAAGATATTATCCTTAATTTAAAATTCACTTTAATCGGCTATCTATAAATTTCAATGATTCTTTAGTCGGCGAAACTTTATTTTAGTATGACTCCGTTTTGAGTTTATCGATATCTCTAGCCATAGATTTTAAATTTTGAATATGCTATGTATACAGATTTTTTGTTCTTTGAATCATTAAATGTTAAATTAGTTGATTGTTATTATATAACACTGCATATATTATCTTAAAATTACCAAGTAGTTTTTTCTCGACACCATACTTGGCTTAACCTCAATGCAAACTACTCAAATTGTATTAAAATTCAAATTTGAATAGCATATCAGTTTGTTAGTAATAGTGATTTTTTTAAAAACGACACACAATGTATATTAAAAAATATTCTAAGATATCCTTATCTTATAATCTATGTATTTGAATTGACAAGAATATTTGAAATCGATGAGATCAGCTTTCAATTTTTTATACTCAACAAAGATGAAACAGAAGAAGAAATTCGTTGTCATCTCTTATTTCTGGTTTTTAGATTTTTCATACATTTTTTCCTATATTTATTTTCTTTTATCTTATTTTTTATGTCTTTTTTATTTTGTTGCAAAAAAATAATTTATTTCGCTATAAAAGGATGAGTTGTAATAGAAATTGTCCACATAAGAACTTTGTTTATATTTTTAGTCTTTGATTGAAATTCTTTCATATTTTTCTTTTGATTCTATCTAATCAGTCTAAATAGGTGCTCACCCAACCACTTAAATTAAAAAATTAAAAGATATATAATTTATATATAATATGTGTATAATCGTGTTTTGTCGGTATATTATCTATGTATATTAGCTATAAAAAGTAAATAATATATCTGGCCAGATATTTATGTAAATATTCCATAGGATTTCGGTTTCTTGATTTTATCCATGATATGACTTCTATTATAATAATTTTAAAAACTCTCTACTAAAATTCAAAAATATCTTATCTTTTTATTTTTAAAATTACATTATATTTTAAAAAATAATCTCATTTCGAATAATTTGTTTACATTTTAAAAAATATATATTTCACGTCATACCAATTATTTTTCAAAATATACTTTTTGGTACACTTGAAAATCGCTATAGAAACTATCAATTAGAAACTAATACTCCTCTTGTTGAATTCGAGAAAAAAAAGCCTTCCACATAATCTAATGATGAATTCGAGAAAAAAAACCTTTCACATAATCTAATGATTCAAAACTAATATTCTTCAATGAAAAAAATATTATACATTTGCAATGTTGGCTTGACTGCAGCTAAATGAAGTGGTTTCAGCTTATACCCTTCAATTCCTAGAAGGTGCTAAATTGAAATTAATGATAGCAATTGTATAGCCAAAGTTTTGTTATTTGTTTGATGTCCATTTATACAAATTGACCTTCAAACGAACATTTTTCAAAAAAAAAAATGAATATTGAGTGATTTTTGTGATGTTTTTTTCTCCAGCATGTAGGTTTACTTCATTATATATGTAAGTAAACTTTTATTTAATTTTTAAACTCCTTTTTGTTATCTAGATAAACATAGTCGTGTACCACATATATATTACATTTATTTTAAAAGAAATTCGTTTTATTCAAATCTAACTATAGCGTTTTAAAGAACTATAATTATAGGGTTTTAAATGTGAAAGAGTTTTATAGTTATATGGAGTAATTTTTTTTTTTTTTTTTTTGCGAGAGGTGAAGTAGTATTTAAATAATTATAAAAGATAATAAAAGTTCCTAACATAATTGCATATGAACATTAACCGAATTAAGTACGATAACATGATAATAAAAGATAAATTTCTTTTTTATTTTAATTCAAATTTAAAAACTTTATTTATAGATTCAAAATTATCCTTTAATTCAAATTATATGTCACGACCCAATTTCACCTATAGGTCGTGATGGCGCCCAACACTACAGTTAGGCAAGTCAACTTAATAAATTAAGTATATATTGACAAAATTTAAAACCAAAAAAATAATAAAATACCAAATTCTACCAATGTGTGTGCCAAGACTTGGTGTCACAAGTGTATGAGCATCTAGTAGATTATATAAAATCTCAAATATTGTCTGAAATAAAAAATAGACAGAATAAAAAATACAAGGAGAGACACTAGTAGCTGCAGAACGGCTCAGAAAGTGCAGCTCACCACTATGCCCTTGGATAACGTGGGTGTAAGACGATAGGTCCCCCACTAGTACTTGCCTCAGGTCCAGCACAAAAAGTGTAGCAAGTGTAGTATGAGTACGTAAACAACGTGTACCCAGTAAGTATCAAGCCTAATCTCGAAGTGGTAGAGACAAGATGGCCGACTTTGACACTCACTATGGGTCAATAATAATAATTGAAACATAACTAGGATATTTAAATCAGCATGATTTACAGAATTTAAAATAGTTTATTTAATCAGCGGAAATAATCAAATTCCTTCAAATGCAACTATTCTCAATATATTAATTAAATACTTTAAATTCAAATAATTTTTAATTTATCAATTAAATATCATTTACAAAAATAACAATTAATTCTTTAATAAGCAAGAATAATAATTCATTAAATTCCATGGATTTTTCAATTTTTCAATTACCTTCGCAAGCTGAAATAAACTATTAAATTATCGTGTAATTATTATTAAGCACGATTTCTGCCGAGGACGTACGGCCCGATCCAAAGTGTCGTATACACTGCCGAGGGACGTGCGGCGCGATCCATAGATGCATCTATCCTGCCGAGGCGTTCGGCCCGCTCCACAAGAAAGGAGGACATTTTCATATGTACCTCCGGAAGGAGAGTATATTTATTATAGGATAAACTCGAGAGGAAGAACAATTTTTTTAATAATTAATTAATTTAAACAGAAAATCAAGCATATCAGATTTTCATTCTTTAATATCTTTATCTAATAATTCACAATATATTCATATATATATCAATTAATATTAATTAAATAAATAATACAATTTATACAAGTAATTCATGCTTTGAGTCCTAAACTACCTGAACTTTAGCATTAATAGTAGCTACGCACGAACTCCCATCACCTCGTGCGTACATAGCCCCCGTAATTAGCAACATTTATTTAATTTAATCCCTATGGGGTAATTTTCCCCTCACAATATTAGACAAGAGACTTACTTCGTCTTGCTCCAATTTAATTCACTAGAAGGCCTTTTCCACGATTATCCAACTCTGTCTCGCTCGAATCTAGCCAAAAATAATTCGATAAAATCACTAAAAATTATAGGAATCAATTCTATAAGAAAATACTACATTTTTAATAAAAATTT